GGACACAAGTGCAACTAATGTGATATTTTATTGTGGCAACGTTTCGGCTTGATAAAGCTCTTGGAGAGTGAAACGTTGCCACAATAAAATGTCACATTAGTTGCATTAGTGCCCTTTTACTTTGCTTACCGGATGTTTTGGCATCAGCTGTGCCAACTAGCAGCAGCATTCTGAATTATGTACATATTATTATTATTACTATTATTATTATTATTATTATTATTATTATTATTGATTTAGGGAACTGAAGCTCTGTCGTAATAATAATAATAATAATAATATTATTATTATTATTATTATTATGATTATTATTATTATTATTAATTTAGGTAACTGAAGCACAGATCCAATTCCCTAGATCAAGAGCCCCTCACCAGCATCAAGGAACCTTGATTCTGGTGAGGGGCTCTTGATCTAGGGAATTGGATTTGTGCTGTAGTTACCTGAATTAATAATAATAATTATTATTGTTGTTATTATAATAATGAGCGCCACCAACTCAGTGCACTGTTTACCTCGCTGTGGGAGCATTTCTCTCATGGTTTTTACATTTTTGACAGTCATTCGGTCAAATTTCATTTTTCTAAGCATGGGCCCTAAGAAATTAAGTGTAAAGGATGGTGGAAATAAATGGTATAAAATACTGACACAATGGAAATATAAACACATATGCAGTATAATGTGATTCTTTATTGACAACGTTTCACCCACACAGTGGGCTTTATCAAGTCACAAACAAATCTACCCGGGTGGAAGGTATGTGACAGTCTACCGGACCTCCTTTCCCCGGACTTCCTTTCCCCGGACTTCCTTTCCCCGGACTTCCTTTCCCCAGACTTCCTTTCCCTGGACTTCCTTTCCCGACTTCCTTTCCCTGGACTTTTCCCTTTTCCCGGACTTCCTTTCCCCGGACTTCCTTTCCCCGGACTTCCTTTCCCCGGACTTCCTTTCCCCGGACTTCCTTTCCCCGGACTTCCTTTCCCCGGACTTCCTTTCCCCGGACTTCCTTTCCCCGGACTTCCTTTCCCCGGACTTCCTTTCCCTGGACTTCCTTTCCCCGGACTTCCTTTCCCTGGACTTCCTTTCCCTGGACTTCCTTTCCCCGGACTTCCTTTCCCCCGACTTCCTCCACCCCCCCCCATTTCCTCCCCCCTGACTTCCCCCCCTTTGACTTCCTTTCCCCCCCCCGACTTTCTTTCCCCCCAGACTTCCTTTCCTCCAGACTTTCTTTACCCCCAGACTTTCTTTACCCCAGACTTTCTCCCCCCTGGCTTTTTTCCCCTGACTTTCTTTCCTGCAGACTTACTTTCCTGCAGACTTTCTTTTCCCCCAGACTTTCTTTTCCCCCAGACTTTCTTTCCCCCCAGACTTTTCTTTTCCCCCCAGACTTTCTTTTCCCCCAGACTTTCTTTTCCCCAGACTTTCTTTTCCCCCAGACTTTCTTTTCCCCAGACTTTCTTTTCCCCCAGACTTTCTTTCCCCCAGACTTTCTTTTCCCCAGACTTTCTTTAAACCCAGACTTTCTTTAACCCAGACTTTTTTTTTTAACCCAGACTTCTTTTCCCTCTTTTTTTCCCCCAGACTTCTTTTCCCCCCAGACTTCTCTTTCCCCCAGACTTCTTTTCCCCCAGACTTCTTTTCCCCCCAGACTTCTTTTCCCCCAGACTTCTTTTCCCCCCAGACTTCTTTTCCCCCAGACTTCTTTTCTCCCCAGACTTCTTTTCCCCAGACTTCTTTTCCCCCCAGACTTCTTTTCCCCCAGACTTCTTTTCCCCACCAGACTTCTTTCCCCCCAACTTCTTTTCCCCCCAGATTCTTTCCCCCAGACTTATTGTCCACCAGACTTCTTTTCCCCCAGACTTCTTTTCCCCAGAACTTTTTCCCCCCAGACCCCCGCTTCTTTTCCCCCCAGACTTCTTTTCCCCCAGACTTCTTTTCCCCCAGACTTCTTTCCCCCAGACTTTTCCCCCAACTTTCTTTTACCCCAGACTTTCTTTCCCCAGACTTTCTTTTCCCCAGACTTTCTTTAACCCAGACTTTTTTTTTTTAACCCAGACTTCTTTTCCCTCTTTTCCCCCAGATTCTTTCCCCCCAGACTTCTTTTCCCCCAGACTTCTTTTCCCCCCAGACTTCTTTTCCCCCAGACTTCTTTTCCCCCCAGACTTCTTTCCCCCAGACTTCTTTCCCCCAGACTTCTTTTTCCCCCCAGACTTCTTTTTCCCCCAGACTTCTTTTCCCCCCAGACTTCTTTTCCCCCCAGACTTCTTTTTCCCCCCAGACTTCTTTTTCCCCCAGACTTCTTTTCCCCACCAGACTTCTTTTTTCCCCCCACAGACTTCTTTTCCCCCCAGACTTCTTTTCCCCAGAACTTCTTTCCATCTAGCCTTCCTTAAACCCTTTTCTAGGCCCTCCCCTTTCACTCTAGCCCCCTTTCCTTTTACCCCCCTTTCCTTTAGCCCCCATTTCCTTTAGCCCCCTTTCCTTTAGCCCCCTTTCCTTTAGCCCCCCTTTCCTTTAGCCCCCTTCGTTTAGACCCCCTTTCCTTTAGCCCCCTTTCTTTAGCCCCCCTTTTCTTTAGCCCCCTTTCCTTTAGCCCCCTTTCCTTTAGCCCCCCTTTCCTTTAGCCCCCCTTTCCTTTAGCCCCCCTTTCCTTTAGCCCCCCTTTCCTTAGCTTCTTTCCTCTAGCCCGCCTTTCCTCCAGCCCCCTCTTTTCTCTAGCCCTCCTCTTTTCTCTAGCCCTCCTCTTTTCTCTACCCTCCTCTTTTCTCTAGCCCCTCTTTTCTCTAGCCCCCTCTTTTCTCTAGCCCCCCTCTTTTCTCTAGCCCCCTCTTTTCTCTAGCCCCCCTCTTTTCTCTAGCCCCCCTCCCTTTCTCTAGCCCCCCTCTTTTCTCTAGCCCCCTCTTTCCTCTCACCCCCTCTTTTCTCTCTGTCCCCCTTTTCTCTAGCCTCCTTTTTCCTCTAGCCTCCTTGAAAATGTGATGCAGGAGTTTGTTTCACATACCAGGTCACAGTAGGGTTTGACTAGCCAGTGATAATTTGCCACACCCTGGCCATATTATGGAGGTGTTAAAACTATAACAATTCCCAAGAGAGGACACCTGCGTACTGGTTTCTCAGGTCTTTTGTTCAAGTAAGAAAATATCCTTAAATTAGGTGAGGGTGTTTGTTTCTTGGAATTCTGACTCTGGTGGACAAGTCTATTCTTTGTGTAAAGCTAGTGGCTGATTGAATTCCTAGAGGTGAATTGTCCTACCTACTATATATTGTAAGTTTATACTATTTGTTTCCTCGGCTAAATTGTATTACTTGTTTCAGTAACTTGGGTACCATTCACACTGATTTCAATATGAAATCCTCCTCCTCCTTTCCCCAAACATATTGTACAAGAATTAGTAGAGTGTATATGAGTGAAATAATATATTCACTATCCCTTTTGTTTCTTATCATTATTATATTTATCTTTATTCTTATTATTTATATTTTATTATTTGAAAGTGAGTGTAGAAGGTGGGTGGGAGTGAGTGAGAGTGAAGTTTACCAGTAGTGTGTAGTGAGGTTAGCTGGAGTAGCCTCCACTGTACCTCTACCACACAGCACCTGGTTTTAGATTGCTCCCTTCCTGTCTCCCACTCACTTATTCCCATCTATTTCCCTAACTTCTATCCCCCCCCATACGACCAAAACCTTGATGTCTTTATGTTCTTTATCCCTCCTTCTTAGACCCCTTATCTTTAGACCTCTGCTGCAGTGCAACCTCCCACAACTCTCCTAATTGCCAGATTTTAGATGAAATTGCACAGTGGGGCAGGGGGGACTAACACAAGACTTGTATTAAAATCCGAAGTTAACATACAGTGGGTTCCCCTCTCCCCATCCTTTTTTCCCCTTAGGCCATGAGCTTGATGACAGCAAGAATGGGTAGGATAGAGCAATGGAAAGGTTATGGGTAGACAGGAAAAGAGCAGTATGAAAGGTTAAGTGGCCTAACCACCATACGTGAATCTTGCTTCAAATGCACATAAGAAGATTGCACTAAAGGAGGATCTAATGTACTGTAACAAAGTATGGCTAGTTATGTCAACATGCAACTTGTTGTAATGATAATGCTGGGTCATTTTATAGTTTTTTTTTTGCAGTCAGTACATGGTTGGCAGACCACAGCACTGAGGGAGGTAACTAAAAATAATGACACTGCATACCAATTAATTTTTTTCTACCTGTAAGCATTTTTTTTTTTTAAATGTTGATCCAGCATACTGGTAAATTCCAACTTTATCTTGGTGGAATTGTGTGCCTGATGCTGACACTTGGAGATAATTAATCGGTATAGCACTATATAAACAGCTTTAATTGAGAACTCTGAGTTTAATATGCTTTTAATTATTTAAAGTAAAATTTAGCTGTTTTGAACAAGACATTAAATACTCTAAAGTGGCCTTATTTCATTGTAAGGAGTTATAGTATTTTATGTATGTAATTGAAAATGCACATTATATATTTCACAAACTTCTCTCAGGTGGTGAATGTAGGCCCTTTTTTTTCTTATAAACTTATCAAATATTTTGTAAATTTTAAACGTCTGCTTGTATTGGTGACACATTTCTGCTTTCTTCTGTATTCCTTAATAGCTTTTATTCTTGTAACGCCATGCATATTTCTAGTTTAAGAGGTTTGGCCTTAGAGTGGGCAGCTGGGGCAGTGATTGCTGGAACCAGTAACCAATAATGGGGCTGGCCAATGGGGAAAAATAAAAGATGGGGAATAGCCCCCTTTTATTTCTCTCTCCATAACATTGTTTATTATGAGATATATTGGGATACCATACTAAATGTGATAGAAGAGCATTATTATTCGTAATCTACATTAAGTACAGTACTTTAAGAGTTGGATTTAAATTCTAATTAATCTTAAGGTATTCTTATGTATAAGCTAAAAGTTGAGTAACCCACTAGAGGTTGATAAGGGCAATGGTACTAACGTGTGTGGTTCCTTCCTCACAGTATCTGGAGACCGATGTTTTGCCTCAGGTAACCTGCACACCATGTAATGTAACCACATTAATTAAATTTGTAGATAAATAATGAGAATGCTGCTTCTGTATTCAACTTCTTTCAGTGTTTATGAAAACTGTGTTGCATGTAAGATTATTATTTTAATTTTATGGCAAATTCATAAGTTGTGCATGGTCACTGTGTATATTTTCCTCTTCACAATTACAGTACTTGTTTATTCCTGCAGTAGGCCTTTACTTGTGGTGTCTGTTTTTATTAATGAATCATAAATGTTTGATGAAAATTCCACTTGTTATAGTATTTGCTGTACTGCCATCACTATACATCTGTTACCACTACATGACACATCTACAAACCACTGTACTACACAACCACCACCAGTACACATCTACCACCACACTTTAACTCTATTACTGCCATTTGTACTACCATATTAAGAGAACTGTATTTTTGTACTTAATTGAAAATTGTGGGCTCCTTGTTTCCTGTGTTGGTTACAAATAGTGCTTCTCTATCTGGTTTCTTTTTATACTTCCATCAGTTTATCTCCCATTTTATTGTCTTTCAATGAAGTCTTTTGCAGAGATTTTAAATGCTCTTTATAGGCTGGATCTATTTTAATGTAATATTATTTGTTTAGATATGGACACATTACTACAAACACACATACTAGTTTAGTTGTTATGTATTTAGGAAACTGGAGTAAAACCTCTTGTTAATGGACTTTGTTAATTTTGGATGAAAAAAATGGTCAGACAAACATTGGAAGTATCAGACAAAATAGACAAAATTCAGTAATTCCAGATTTTGCCTAGAGTGATAGTGTCCAGTTGGCTGAGCCTGATGACTGACACTTGTCTGGTATGGGTCAAAGTGGCCACGTCCAAAACCTGTCTGTTTTCATTGTTTTCTGGGATGTAGGCCACCTGCATCAGTTTGTCTGTGCTCGCTCACACGTACACTTGTTATTCAGTCTCTAATTTTTCCTGAATTTAGAGCATTTTGTGACTTCATTAACACATTACATATGGTTTATAATTGATTCAAGAGGAGGGGACATTGACATGTGGATATAGAAAGCCCATGGTTATGCAAAGCATTCCTGGCAGCCTTAAAATAAACTTGCAAATTCTGCTGAAATTTTTTGCAAAAATAATTTGTTGAAGGTTTTACTAAAACAATTTGCTATAATGTTTGTAGGCATTATTGTAAATATTAGTCAAATACAGATGCAAATATTAATCTAAATTTAAGTATTATTGCACAGGACATACAATAAACTGGAGGCCCATAGAATTCATAGCATCTCAGGCAAAAAATTAGCCTTTACTATAATTAAAATTTACTCGGTTAATTCTTAATAAAAATCACATTTGATGTACATGTAATTGTTAAGTTTAGCAGGGTGTGTAGTACTGTACTAGTTAAATTACAATGTAAAATATGATAAGAGTATACATGACTATATAATGATATATGAGAGTTGAAGCAAATCTGGAAAAAGAACAGTGACTGAATTGGATGAAAACAGCAGTTTCAGGATTTGTTTGACATAGTATATTGCTGTCAAAATCACATTAAGGTAAGGAGGTGCTCTTTAACAGTAGTTTTTAAGTAGTTGGCAGATAGGTAATCTTTGGAATCTTCAAACAGAGTTCCAGATTTTAGGGCTTTTTATATGCATTGAGTTTTTTTATACAGATATACTGAGTTGGAACAGAGATATCAGAGGTTTTCATAAATTTAAAGATTTATTTATTTGCAGTATTTACAATGTGTGATTAGAATTTTAATTTGTTAAGTACAAAGAAGGCCACTATCATGCCGAGGCATTTTGGGAAGACTAAACCTAAACGTAAATTTTTATTATACGTATATTGTTTTTCTTTCTTGTGTTATGCCAATGGGTTCTGTTGTGGCTATCAAGTAAGAAATTCAGTGCAGGGTTTATATCAGAATTGATTGTCCTGTATTATGAGTAAATATGTATATTGGCTAAGTTTAAATTTTTGAAGAGTGGAGGAGTGTTTTGAATGGCATAAGATTGGGTAATCATTCATACAGCAGCTGTTTATTTCATGTCTGTGGACATGTTTAGAAACCCTCAGCATTTTTCTTTCATTGATTTTTTTTAAGGATTTTGTAATACTGTGTTAATAGTAATCATTCTGTATAGTAATAATTAATAATTTTTCAAATGCACGTGAGTATTACAGTGAATGAGTTTGTATTTAGTATACTTATTAAAAAAGTCTATAGTTATGCACAGCATTTTGAGCAGACATAAAAACAAGACTTAGCTAAAAAGGCATTGCATGGTTTGTCATAATCCAGCTGTTACTTAGTAGTATAATTTTTCAATCAGTTGTACAGTGTTTTTTTGAAAAGTTGTCCTAAATAGATATAATGGCTTATTAACCAGATTAATGCAGCATGACCTAGAGCATTAAATAGCAAACTGTTATGAATGCAACTTGATCTGATTTCAAGAATTCAAAGGGTATATAAAACATAATGGTTTGAATGAGCAAGTTAAAAACTAAAACATAAGAGAAAATTCAAAATTATATAATGAATATTGTATATAATGATTTTTACACATGTATTTACTTGCAAATAAGAATATAGCAATACTTGGTATACTGTAACTTAACACCTTAATCCCTGCCACTGTGTTAGACTTAAACTTGCATCTCTTAGCTCTGTTACTTCTAGATTTGTACAGTCGACCCTCAGTTAATGATATTAATCCGTTCCAGAGAGCTTGTCCTTAAGCAATTTTATCGTTATCTGAATTAATTTTCTTCATAGGAAATAATGGAAATCCAATTAACCCATTTCAGATACCCAAAAGTATTAAAAAAAATTATTTTTTCACATGAAATATATATTTTCCTACACAGAAAACAATGAGACATGCAGAATAAATATTTATTAATGTACATTAATAATTCATAAAATGACACTTGCCTTTATTGAAGACTTATTGATGAGTGATGAGACGGGGGGGAAGGGAGAGGATGAAGGTGTATTATTGTTTGAAAGGGGAATCCCCTTCCATAAGGACTTTAGGTAGCAAGTCCTTTTCTGGGGCTACCCCCCTTCTTTTTTTTTTAATGCCAGTAGGACCAGCTTGACAGTCACTGGACCCCTGTCGCAACAAAAATCTGTCCAGGGAGCTCTGTTTCTGGCGTGTCTTTAAGATTTCCCTAAAATGGGACACAACATTGTCATTGTAAAATTCACCAGCACGGCTTGCAACAGCTGTGTCAGGGTGGTGTTCATCCATAAAGGCTTGCACCTTTGTCCACATTGTACAAATGTCCTTAATCGTTGAAGAAGGCAACTTCCTCCATCTCTCTTCCCCCTCCTCTGAAGCAATTTCCTCAGCTGTGGTCTGTTGCTGATGCAGATGCTCTTGCAGCTCATCGGTGGTTAGCTCTTCATCGTCGTCCTCCACCAACTCTTCCACATTCTCGCCACTAACCTCCAACCCCATGGACTTCCCCAACTGGTATAGGCTCCTGAGGGTTAGCCCCAAACCCTTCAAAATCCCCCTCTTGTACACATTGTGGCCACAATTTTCTCCAAGCAGAGTTTAAAGTCCTGCAAGTCGCTCTCTTCCAAGCCTTACCTATAAGGTTTATGCAACTGAGGATACTGAAGTGATCTTTCCAGAACTCTCTTAGGGTCAATTCAGTGTCTGAAGTCACTTCAAAGAACTTTTGAAACACTGCTTTGGTATACAGTTTTTTGAAATTTGAAATGGCCTGCTGGTCCATGGGCTGGAGGAGAGGAGTGGTGGTAGGAGGCAAAAAACTTCACTTTTATGAAACTCAGGTCCCCCACAATTCACTCCTGCAAGTCTGGAGGATGAGCAGGAGCATTGTCTAATACCAGGAGGCACTTGAGTTCCAATTTATTTTCCAGGAGGCATTTTTTCGTGGAATATGTCCCTAGTGACCCATGCCTTACTGTTTGCCCTCCACATCACACACAAATTAGGCTTGTCGACACTGTTTTTCTTGAAAACACTGGGAGTTTGAGTGATTCACTAGCAAACTCTTTCATAGGCTTGTGTCCTGGGAGTGCCTTTTCCTCCTGAGTAATGTAGGTCCTGTTTGGCATTTTCTTCCAAAACAAGCCTGTTTCATCACAATTGAACACTTGTTGGGGTTTTAATTTTTTAGCCTCTATGTACCCCTTAAAGTCCTGCACATTTTTCAGCCGCTTTTTTGTCAGAACTGGCAGCCTCACCATGCCTTATCACACTGTGTATGCCACTGTGATTCTTAAATCTCTCAAACCAACCTTTGCTGGCCTTAAATTCACTAACATCAGCACTAGTTCCAGGCATTTTCTTAATTAGATCATCATGCACCTGCCTTGCCTTTTCACATATAATTGACAGTGAAACACTATCTCCTAATAATTGTTTCTCGTTGACCCACACCAACAACAGTCTCTTCACATCTTCGAGTATTTGCGATGTCTGTTTTGTAAGCAGATTTGCACCTTTTGCAACAACAGCTTCCTTGATTGCCTTTTTGTTGGCCAAGATAGTAGTGATGGTTGATTGGGGTTTGTTACACAACGTGGCCAGCTTGGAGGCACGCACTCCACTTTCGTACTTTGCGATTATCTCTTTCTTCAATTTGATAGTATTTCTCACCCTTTTTACCATAGGGTTGGCACTAGAAGCTTTCTTTGGGCTCATGGTGGCTTATTTAGCAGTTACAAGCACTAAAAAGAATGGAATAATACAAAATGTATCGCATGTTTGCATGGAATTGTTCGCAGTGGCTTGTAAACAATGGCACACTAGCCACACTGGAGTGGCTCAGGTCGTGCAGACACATTTTGGACAAATGCCCTTAACTGAGTTTTTTATTGTTAGCCAGGCCAATATTTTGGTGCAGAAAGTATCTGTATCCGATTTTATCGCTATCCAATGGCATTGTTAACTGAGGGTCCACTGTATTGCTGTTACTATAGTGTAAATCATGTTGCTGCAG